AACAGTCGGAAAGGCAGTTGAGGAGCCAGGCACATGTTGCTTCCAAACCATTTGCAAGTTTGCAGCTTTCATATGGTCCACATACTTGTTCAGGACTGGATTTTCTTCATACTGAGAAATGGCAATTCCAGCCCAGCAGTAAATAATTAAGCTATTATACATACTTCATGGAATGTATGAGGTACATACTCTGCTGTTCATTGCAAGGAAGTATAATTATTTTACAAGCACATGACACGCCAGTTAACACTTTTCTCAGTGCTGCAGCGGTTTGGCACAAGCATGTCCACTATCCAGCTATATTAGCAGTTGATTTTGAGAATAATGTTTGCAAAACAGTTAGAATTATTGCTTTACCCTTGCCATCGTGAAGCGACAGAATTGTCACTGATTTTTTTTTTTAATTTGTGTTAGCTGTAAAACAACAATATTAGCAGATCTGCCATCAGTAATACCAAATTAAAGTACACCAGTACTCTTAATACCCTTAGTGACAAAAAACATGATTTTGACACTAAATACCTACTGTCTCATAGGGTTCACACACATTGGCTGAGTCAAATAATTAGGCCAGCTGAGCTAACAGTAAATCTTGTTTAAGCACACAGAAGTGGCTTCTCTAGTGAAGTTATGACATTGCATGTAAAACTGTTGGTCAACAATCTTTTCAAATTAATTTCACAACAATGGAGACCTTTAAGCAACGCTTGAAAGTTTTGATGCATTTCAATTTTGAAACTGTTCAATTTGAAGCAAACTGATGGCTGAAATTTTTTGACTATTACTGACATGTATCAGCTGAGCTAAAGGAGTAATTAATGTCAGTCTTTTTATCTCTCTCACCCATTCCCAGATGACTGAGAATGAGCTACTACAACAGCAGGCAAATATGACTATGTTCATTTCTCCAAATGATGAGGGTAGGGACCAGGTGATCAGGCAGTTAAAATCATTTAGGAATCTTAAATTACTCACTGATATCTTGCTCCCTCCGAATCATCATCAATTTTAAATCTGTTCTTTTGATCAACAGGATGTTGTCCTTTAACTATACAAATCAGCTTAGGATGAAGCTTATTAGATTGTAAACTACTTAGCAAAAGAAAGAAGCCACAATAAAGTCATAAGGTCCTGCCCAAAAGTGTAGTGACAAATGTGATGACAGTAGTTGGGCTCAGCAGCTATTTTGAACATTACCTTAAGGGGAAATTGTAGCGGCATTTTTACTAGGTGACCATAATGGGCAGCGCTGTCAAGGGACGAGTGACACAATTTTAGTTCAAATCTTCTGTCTGAATGTGAAAATGGGTAAGACTAATAATGATTGCAGTTTCCAATCCATCATATTCCTACTGGACAATTGTGGTTAAAATTGACCTGTTGAACTCCCTTGTCCCACCCAGACCTGCCCCTCCAATAACTCACACTTCCTTGAGAGAAGTTCTCTCAAGACTGTTCTTTTACCCAACTGCATTCCATTGGGACCTAGTAAATGGCATATTTCTGCCTCTCATTCAGCTTTCAGTTTCCATCAGTTTTGCATACACAACTAGTCAAGGAGATGCAGACAAGGTTCCCATGTTAAAGTTGCCCAAACCTCATATAACAGAGGTCTGCTCAGTTTGCCATCCATCTCAGATCTGCTTGCTTGATTATTTCCTGAAGTTAAAATGCTACTGTGTCACTCAGAAACTGTGGTCTTCCACTTCTATGAAGTTTCTTTTGGTATTGTTATACAAGGTTTCCTGTGATTAACCCCATTTTTCAACTGAAGTTCAATGGATGGCAACCAATTTTTAAGAAGCCTCTCCAGAGGAAGCTTATTATATTGAAATCTACTTAGCAAGAGAAAGAAGCTGCAACGAAGTTACAAGATCCTGCCCAAAGTGTAGTGACAAATGTAATTGAGGAAGTCAAATCTGGTCTTCCTTTTCCCATACCATTCATAAAATGTGAATGGTACTTCCTATATTCTTCCAAAGTGTGCAAATGATAACAAGCTATGTGACCAAGTTCAGAATAGAGATTAATAACATGAATAGAATTGAAACCAATTAAAGATGTGAGCTATATATAAATGTAAGTTTGTGCTACTTGAACAATGCACATATTTTAGCAAAGATGGAACATCAAATGAGCATATTTTAGCCACTAAGAAAAACGAAGTTCATAGGTAAAATTTTTGTTCATCCTCTTCTTACAGACATCTCAAAGAAATTATCTGGGCTTGATGGCCCTTTCTTATACACTTAATTTCACTCCCCTTTTATTAAAAAAAAATAGACTTTTGACTCACCTTTTTGTTAATCACACACTCAATTGGATATATTTATAGATATTAAAAGAAATAATCTACTGTTATTTTCATCTTGCAATTGGAGTAATTTGCTATTTCAATACATTGATTTCTTTTCCACAGAACATCAATTCGTGATTCATTCTAAGAATATTAATTCGATAGAAAACTTATAATTGCACTCTAGGCTTTACAGACAACCTAACTGTGAAATATTTCCATAAAACCTGTATCACCGTATTTTTCAACACTGTTCTTTTATTGGCTTGATAAAATTAACTCTTCCTAGTGCACACTAAGCTGTGCTCATGAACTCATCTGAAATGTGCAACCTTTTGTGTCTTGGCAAAATTGTATTCCATTGCAAGCCTTGTTTTGTATTTTGATTTACGTAACAATTGTACCTTAATTTCAAAACCTTTCCAATTTAATGTAATAATAGCACAAATACAAAATTGACACTAAAGTAAAAGGATCTAATTACAATGTTGTACAATGTCTAATGTCATTATCAACATCTAACAAATGATTGCATATAATTTTATGCACACAAACTGCTGCTCTCTGAAAGCATTTTATATAGTTAACAACACAATAGCATAACAACTACATACAAAGATTGAAAGAAACATATTAGTGAAATTTTAACATGTATTGACAACTATTATTTCTGCTTTGGTGATTCACACTATGTATAATATGGGACAAATGAATAATATACCTACTTGTCATTGAAAACATTGCCTTTTTCATTATTAGTAAAGGTAGTTTTGCTGTCAAGTAAACAGAAGATTGTAAATGCAGGCTTCTCTTGCAGGTTTCAGGATATTATCTGGCCTGGCATCTTCAAGCAGCACTATCAAAGGGGCCATCATTAAGATAAGACTTGCACTCAAGCTCCTGAAAAAGACACTTTTTGCAAGAAGAGCTAGAGAGTTCTGCTGCCTTGCCCTATGTTTATTCCTTAACAAACATCACTAAAACGTGTAGTGATTTATCTCATTGCTGTTTGTGACACTTTGCCGCATACACAATGCTTGTGATGTGTACAATGATGGCTATACTTCAAAAATATATTACTGGCTGTGAAGTGCTTTTGGATGTTTTGAGAACATAAACAGAGAGTTGAAATGCAATCAGAGATAGTAGGAACTGCAGATGCTGGAGAATCCGAGACAACAAGGTGCAGGGCTGGATGAACACAGCAGGCCAAGCAGCATCATAGGAAATGCAAGTTCATTTCTCATTCTTTTTAAATAGGAATCGCTTACTATTTCCTATATTCATTTTCTATCTAAGTATGTTTAATTCTTAGGTAAAATGATTCCGTAACCAGGCAGAACTATTTTTGCAAAGACAAACTATTTTCGCTGGTTTTGTTAAGTAAATGCTTTAGAAAGGAAGAGTTTGTCAAAGTTTTGCAAGCCAGCGAGGTGGTAGAAATAGAGTGGAGTCTTCTGTTTCTGGAGGTGGTGAGTTTGGAAGTGGGAAGACAATTTAATTACAATTTAATTGGGTTCTGAGGAAGGGTCACCGGACCCAAAACTCTGGTTTTTCCTTCACAGATGCTGCCAGACCTGCTGAGATTTTCCAGCAACTTTGTTTTTGTCCCTGATTTGCAGCATCCGCAGTTCTTTTGGTTTTTATTTAGACAATTTAATTCGGCTGGTTTGAATTAATTTCTGGGCAGGAAAGACCATGGCTGACCTTCCCAGATTGCTGCCAACAGGTTATTTACCATCTTAAATCACAAGTTCACATTTAAGGTTTACCTTCTTCCCACTTCTGGGGTCGGGTTTTAATTTGGATAATGGACCTAGTTTTTCTCATTACAGTAGCTGTTCCCTCACGCTGCTTCTGTTGTGTTTATGTGGTGTCAAGTGTGGGTTTTAAAAGCCTGCTGCTTTAAGAAAAGATTGAGGGATGCATGATTAAAATCTTGTTGTTATTGTATTGCATAAGTGTAGACTTGATTCACAAACTGAAACTGTATAGGATCATATTGTTAGCGATTGTTTTATGCACTGTTATTACAATTTAAAGAGAGCTGCAGGTAAATTATATTCACTTCAGTAATCTTCAAAAAACTCAACTCTTTTTCCAAAGCCGAAATGGTCTTAATGTTACATCAATTTGTAATGTAGCTCTGTTTGTTAATCCTTTGCATTGTTTGTGCCTAACTAGTTATCTGTGCGATGCAACAATAGGTTAAGGGATTGCTGCACTTTGCCAGTAACACATGTTGGAGTTACTTATGTATTAGAAATTCACTCACTAAAATGAAAGGCCTAATTAATTTAATACCCAGTCAATGCTGAATATGAGCCTTTGACCCCATTAAATAACTCGTATAATTCATTGCTAAACTTGGCAGCATATCCTGTTATATTACAGACACCATGTCCAGGCTTAACTGTTTAAAATCAGTGTAATGGTAAACATGTTAGCAAAATGAAAGAACTTGATTTTATTTGATGTGTTGCATTCTATGATATTGACTGATTCATCTCCACTTTTTCTCAAGTTCCTTATTATCTGAGGTAAAAAGATTACTGTCGTGTTCTCAAGATTCAAATTGCCACTGCAGTGAAATAAGCACCCAGCAGTTGTTTTGATGATTCCGTTTTGCAGAAAAAAATATTGTTTCAAATTTATAACACCTATATACATATTACATACCTTTTGTTGATCTTTCTGTTTGAAGGAGAGCCTGAAAATTGGAAACACCTCTATTCTCCACAGAAGAAAAAGATCTTTGATAGCCCCTCCCATATCGTTCCCTGAGAATCAAAGAGGACCATTTCCCAAAGTTATTGGACGGGTAAGGATTATGGCTATGAATTTGTTTTTACTGATTTGCAATCATAATTATCCATCAATTTAGTGAATAGGTCGATCAATGAAGTTTAAGCAGATAAAATTTACATTGAACATGACCACACGGCTGATTTGAATTTGTTGGGTAGAAATAATTCACCCTTGAGTCTGTGCATGTATCAATTACCAGGAAAGACTGTCACAACAAAACTGACAAATGAAAGTATCACATCATCTTGATCCTTCTGCATCAGCAAGGAGCAAGCAGCATTTGGGGAACCTTAGTCTAACCCCCAGTGTAAACTGGCTGAGATAATCTCATTGCAACACGCAAGATTTTAAAGGGGCTCGACATGGTAGACACAGATTATTTCTATTAATTGGGGAATCTGGAATGCAAGAGTTCAGTCTCAGGATAAGGGCCTGATCATTCAGTAATTAAGAATTGTCGACTGGCACATTCCAATATCCAGGTCTACGTTTTGATGGAAGCACTATAATTTGCGACAACCACAGCAAAAGCCCAATGGGGAATGAAGAGGGCCATATTCCATCACATCCCGAGGGAACTGTGTAAAAGCACTCAGGCTGTCCGCATGAGCAAATGTTTGACATGAAATATAATTGTATGTCATAAATATAACCTATAATGGCAGGTGTAGTAAAATAGCTCGTGTTGTTTTGAAAGGAACTGATCTATCAATCTGTTGTGTAATGCTCTGTTACACATTTCATAAAGTATAATTTTATTTTTATGATATAGCAAAGGGCCAATCATCTAGGACTGAGACAAAGGGAAATTTTTTCACTGAAAGGGTTGTGAATCTTTGGGATTCTAGTCCCAAATGGATGTCAATGTTTCATCACTGAATATAGTTATGACTGAGACAGATTGTTATCACTTCAGAAGCTAGGATTATGGGGAGTGAGCAGGGAAAAGGAGTTGAAGTAAAGATCAGCCATGATTGTATTGCATGATGCAGCATGCTCAAGGAGCCTACTCCTGCTCCTATACTTTTATCCCTGTCATCTTAACTTTTTATGTTCTTCAGAGATGGTGCCTGTTGCAGATAAAAGTTAGTTCTAAGGATGCTGGCACAGGCCTCATTTTATATTTCTGAGAGGGGACAATATGGGGAAGGTAGAAATTGGCTGACAATGTTCAGATATTGAGCAAAGAGGTTAGCAGTGGGTGTTAGATCAGCTATTTTTAATAAGTCTGACTTTTGTTTCAGGCAAGGCCTAACCAATCTGCTAAATCCACACACTACTTATGTGTTTCCATCATACGCTTTAAGTTGTGCATCTTATTATGCCCCCAACAAATGGGCAAAGCCAGCGTCTCCTTTGTCTCTCCTTATACTGCAAAGACCACAAAAAATTTTAAGTGTTGGACCAAAGTAGCTAGGTTATTTGTAAAAACAAATGTGTGTATGAACATTTAAATCACATGATGAGTAGTGTATTTAACTTGATAATATTTTTGAGATCACAAGCAGGAATAGCATACCGAGCATATTAACTGTCATTTTAGGACAGGTCAGTAAGTGTGGTCTGAAATAATACCACCAGTGAGACAACCCACCCAAGTGAAGTCAGCAGAAAATAAATTGAGCCTGAGAACTTAACAATACTAGGTTTACTGCCTGTCATCAAAAGTATGAGTGTGTCCAACAATCCATAAAATTCAGCTTCTCAAATATCTGCTATGTTATATGTTTAGATCCACTGATTGCATATCTTATTGTATTGACCACAAGTTTGTTTTAATCTGTACTGCGTTTTTAGTTTATATGCTTACTATGGAACGCCCGTGAGGGAAGAAGATTTTTGATGTGCACTGTTTCCTGCAAAACCATAATCATGTCCTTTTAAGATTTCCTCTACCTAAATTACTACGTATTCAGTTTAGCCATGCTGTTTTTCCCATTCACTGCTCAGGCTCTCACTCAGCCTTTTTGAGATCTCGATACATGTTTTGCATAAAGCCAGAGTTTACAGACAAAACACTGCTGCTGCTAAAGTAAATGTATGCATTTGCTTAATTCAGCACTTTATTTACACGGCAGATGGTGTGTGATTTTAGAAGAAAGAATGCATTATCAAAGCTGCTGACATACTTCAGTACTTAGCGAAATAGATCGGTTTACAAACCAATTAACAATGTGCATTTATATAGCATCTTTAGTACAAGAATAACATTCTAAAGCACTTCACCAGGATGATAAAAAGATGCACATTGAGTCAAAATGATAAAGGGTAAAAGAACAAAAATAGTGAATGTGATGGGTTTTGAGGAGGATTTAAGATCAAGACATAGGCAAGATGGGCAGGTTATTCAACCCTTTGAGCCTGTGCTGTCATCCAGTTAGATTATGGCTGATCTATATTGTTACTCTATTTATCTGCATCTACTTTATCAAATCCATTCATTATTCTAAATACCCCAAAAGTCACCCCCTTTTAAAAAAAATTGAAGAGAAAACAAGCTATTAAGCATACTTTCACAATTTAAGCCCTGGTATCATTCTGGATCTATGCATCACCCCAGCAAATGGAATTACTGTGAACATTTCCTGAGGCCTGGTGGTCAAAGATGAAAGCAGCCAAACAAATCTATCTGAGCACAGATTGTGCAATGGAAGCATTTTTTTTCATTTAAAAAGAACTCCAACCTCCTTGGTAGAAAAGACAATATTCCATTCACCTTTTTGATTATCTGTACCAGCATAGAGATTTATGTACATGATGACCTGAGTTGCTTTGCTCCTCGATAGCTCCTGAGCCTTTCATCATTGAGAAGATTTTTTGATTTGCCTTCCTTCGATTCAAAGTGATTTTATCATAAGGGGATACAGAACAGCAAAAGGATTTCGTGCTGGAATGGAGTCATTGTAGCTGAACACAGGTCCTCAAATAGTGGAGGATAATCAGCGGAATGATGTGTCAACAAATACTAACAAAGTCACTGATGCATACGTGCTACACTGCAAAGTTCGCTTGTTACATGCTCATGACATTTTTGTGTCAGTGTTTCCACCCCAATTTCTACCTATCTTTTCATAAATTAAGGAGATCTGGGCTTTACTGGCTTGGCCAGTATTTATTGTCTATTCTTAACTTTCCTTGAGAAGATGTTGGAATGTTAAGTTTCTCAAACTACTGCAGTTCATTTGATGTAAGCAAACCCACAAGGGCTAGAGGTGAGCTCCAGAAATTTGACCTAGTGACAGTGAAGGAATGACATTTTATTTCCAAGTCAGGATGGTATGTGGCTCAGAGAGGTGTAGTTGCAGTTTAGAACTGCTGTCTAAGGAGCTTTGGTGGATTTCTGCAGTGCATCTTGTAGATGATGCACACTATTGCTACTGTACATCAGCAGAGGAGAGAATGGATGTTTATGGATGTGATGCCGTTTAAACAGACTGCTTTGTCCTGGACGGTGTCAAGCTTATTGAGTGTTTTTTGAAGTTGTGCTCATCCAGACAAATGAAGAACATTTTGGCACACTCCTGAAATAAACAAGCTTCTGGCGAGTGAGGAGCGGAATTACCCACTGCTGGATTCCAATTCTTGGACCTGCTCTTGCTATGCTGTCTTTATATGGATAGTCCAGTTTCTGGTCAGTGTTAACACCAAAAGTGTTAGTGGACAATTCAGCAATGGCAGTGCCGTTGAATGTTGAGGGGTGATGGTTAGACTCTCACTTGTTGGAGAGCACTTTGCCGAGCACTTCTGTGGCAGCTAATGTTCTGGCTGGGTTCAAATCCTGCCATGGCAGATGGTGGAATTTGAATTCAATAAAAATCTGGGATTAAGGGTCTGATGATGACCATGAAACCATTGTTGATTGTTGGAAAAGACCCATTGTGTTCACTAATGTCCTTTGGGGATGGAAATCTGTCATTCTCAGCTCTTCTGGCTCCAGACCCATGGCAATGTGTTTGACTCTGTTGCCATTAGGCAATTAGAGATGGGCAATAAAAATGTTGGCTTAGCCAGATATACCACATCCCATGGAGTGAATTAAAAAAATACTTGGCACTTTTGTCGATCCAAGCCTGAATATTGTCCACATTTTTCTCTATTTGCCCAGAGGCTGCTTGAGTATCTGAGGAATCTCCAGTGGTGCAGAATATTGTCAAATCATCAGTGACTATCCCCTTTTTGATCTTATGATGAAGGGAAGGCCATTATGTGGAGGTGCCGGTGTTGGACTGGGATGGACAAGGTCAAAAATCACACAACAGCAGCTGAAGAATTTTGGACCTAAGATACTACACTGAGGAGCTCCTGCAGATATGTCTTGGAATTGAGATGACTGACTTCCAAAACCACAACCATTTCCCTTGTACTAGTTATGACTCCCAACCAACAGAGAGTTTTGCCCTGATTCCCATTGACTCTAATTTTATTAGGGGTTCTTTATGTTACATTTTGTCAAATGCAGTTTTAAGGTTAAGAACATTCACTTTTGCCTCCTAAATGCTAGAGTCCTGTAGCATGTGCTTTCAGCAGCTTATCTGAGTAGCCTGTGGAGAACCATTACCTGCAGGCTGAGTTAAGTGAGATGTACATCATTGCCTGGCCTTTTCCTTGAGGAGGAGAAAATAAAAATGTTTGTGCAACATGTTTGTAAACCCATTTATAAAGAATATGCTTCTTATCTTGTATGTAATGCACAGAGGAAATCTCAGCTACAAACCTCTGGGCACTGAACCATGCCTTTGCAGAGCTCATTGTGCAGTAATCAGGAACAGCAAACAGCCTGACTGGTTCAAAGAGACAGAGGTCAATTGCAAACTCTCTACAGTTGCCTACCAGTGGTCAGCCAAGTTTGTGTAAATTGCTGTTTATTTATATGGAGCAAAAGAACCTAACATTTGATTTAACATTGGAGTGTCCTTTTGCCAATTGAGAGACTGAACTGTTATTTTCAATTGTTCGAACACAATAGGTACAAAAGCAGATTAATGCTATAATAATCAGATAGGTTTTCAACTT